TCTTATGATATTATTCTGCTTCTTCCTCCCCCCCCCCTCCCCATTTCTTTATGTATTGTAACATATCTTTTTTCCAGGTATCTGTGACTCTTACCAGTGGGTGATGAGTGTATGTGAAGCACTCCACCCTGCACTAGAACGTCTAGACTCTGAACACCTTAGTCGTTTCAAGCTCAACTGGGTGACTGTGAACATGCACGTCTTCCACTCTACTATATTAACTGATCCTGATGTACATGACTATGCACAGATCTGTAAAGAAAAGGTATGTTGAACTAAAGGGATTAGATGTGTGTAGTATTGCATCTTCCTGCGAACTTTTATCATTATTGAAAGAATAATTTCACTTAATTATGATATTTTCAGTTTAGAGAAACCCCAGGAGGTGAGGATGTGTTGAGTTGTTTGGCATCACTTCATCGTACTTTAGCTGTAGCAGAAGCTGTGTGGGTACGTGCAGACACACTTCTTCAAGAATATGCAATTGAAAGAGCTGCTCTTAGTGCCCGACGTAGACAGTTACTGGCAGATTGGGAACAATTTAAGGCCCAGCAACGAACTCAACAACAAGAAGCTGCCAAGGCTGGTGTCCCAAATTTAGCGTCAACATCTGCAGCGCTTAGTGAGTATCATTGATTCTTAGTAGTTTGTTCCTTATTTCTGTCTTGCCATTAAAACATCCTTCATTTAAAAAATTGATAAATGTAGCTTGAATATGAAGATGTGACTGAATATTATGAGCTGGGTGTATGTGGACAAGTGTGTGGTTCTGGCTATATCTTTTATCTAAGAAATGTTAAACAAGACGTAGTGAAACTGTTGGTATTTGAATAAGCCAACAATTTTGGATATATAGAATTAGCATTTTAGTTTTATTTCCATTTTTTATATTTAATTATTAACCCTTTTTTTTTTTTTACTGAAATTTCTTTTCCTTTTATACTTGATTATCTGAAGTTTTCCTATGAATATACTTTATAGAATCCAACATCAAGAGTATTTGATCAGAAAGAGTATATTTGAATAGGTCCCCTGTAGACATTACCATTTTCACCCATTTTTATATACAGTATGTATAGGCATTCTTTATATATATCAACATATTTAACCCATTGGTAGCAGGGATAGTATGTATGTACATACATTGTATTGACATGTAGATACAGTATGCACATACATTGTATTGACATATAGATACAGGATGCACATACATTGTATTGACATGTAGATGGCTCCACAAGAGCTTAGTCACTAAGGAATCAGTCATTAGTCCTGCTTATCTCTTTTGTTAACTGTTTACTTGATTTTTGGAAATAATTCATTATATTTTGTATTATCATTGATAGCATTATCATAATCATAATGCAGATAATGATAACAGCATGAGGAAAAAGATTCCCATGGAAATGAAATTTGGTGAGGTCACATAAGTTATTTATTGACTCCTTGATGGCTGTGCACATGGAGCCATCTATATGTAAGCACATTTTACAGAAACAAAACCGTGAACATTAGATGTTCCTGGCAGCAGTAGGTTAAAAAAAATCTAAGAAATCTATGGTTGGATAAGATACTGCAAGCAGATCACAATCCTTACCTCAGGAGTGTACAGAACAGATAGTGACCATTAATGGTATGTTGATTTGCCAACTCCTTTGCATAGGCGTGATAATGACCTCAATTGGCCTTATACGATTCATGGTATTTGTCTATTTTGTATAACCCCGAGGGAAAGAGTATGGCATGTAAAATTGAATATGTCTGTGTATTGTATTTTGCCACAGATTTTTTACCATATATCAAAATAACCACAGCAAAAGGGTAAAGGTTAATAGCACCCCTTACATAGTAATGTTGGTTGACGAGTCAATACACCATATATCTTTATATGGGTTGCACATTATTTTTTGACCCCATTAAAGTTAAGAAATTGTGTAAATCTAGTCAGTGCTAATGCTATTCACTTTAAAAATATTTCAGGTGAGGATGGTGGAGCGCAGTGCCCTTGTGATGACTGTGTTAATGGTCGGACTGGGCAATTAGAAGGCCAGCCCTTGTCAGGCAATGCACGCATTGCTCTCTCTTCTTCCCCGGATGTTCGCTCTCCATCCAGTTGTGAATGTCACTTTTGCAATGCTTCTATGGCAGCTGCTGTAAGTATTTTGGGGACTTTTTGTTCTTCCTTTCTTTCTTTCTTTCTTTTCTTTTTTTCTTTTTCTTTTTTTTTCCTTTTTTCTTTCTTTTTTTATGATTTTATTTTTTACTTTTCTTTTCTCCAGTCAGTCAGTCTGTTGTACCATCATCTATCCCTGAATTACCTAAAAGTCTTCAGTTAGGACAACTCAGTTGAGCCATAGCTCAATTTTTGAGTTTCCTTTTATTTGTTGTTTTTGTTTTTTTTAATTTAAAAATCAATCTATGACTTGTCCTGTGCACTCTGGTGCTCTAGTGAAAGCAACCAACCAATATAGAGGTGCAGGAAAATTACAAACACTGGTATGATACAGAAGTTTAAGTAAACAAGAACTGAGAAAATGCCATTGGAAATTTGAATACTTGGCAAAGTTTGTTATCTGTTATTTGTTGTTAAATATATTAATGTCAATTAACAAAAAAATTAACTCATTTAGCATACTTTCTGATCAGGTTACTACCATCCATTAGTTATTGTTTTCAATTGGAACTGTATATTGTAAAGGTACCTCTTTTTTCAGATATGAAAGTAGATTTTCCTGTCTGAAAAATTTATCATAAAAAAGTAATCTAAACCAGATGTTTTCTCTCTCTCTCTCTTTCTCTCTCTCTCTCTCTCTCTCTCTCTCTCTCACT